ACCCCACACTTCCCCATCCATTTCCTGACTCAGCTGTGCCAGCACCTGCTGTAGGGAGACAGGAGCCCTGCCCCGCCCTCGGCCTTCTAAGTCCCCCCCCCCCCGGGCCTTCCAGTCCCCCCCACCCCTCAACCTGCTCCAGGGAAAGGAACTGCGCACACGCCACCCTAGAGACCTGCATCTGCCGCCACGTTAATAAGAAAATCTAAGCATGGGTGATTCGTCTAAAGCCACTGTTAACTTGTTTTGGATTTTTTAATTTTTCTGGTTACAGAATTAGAACATGTTTACGAAGGAAAAGTACAGTACAGAAAAACATTTAAATCATACCCAGTGATTTCACTGACTTTTTGTAAGTCAGTGGGGATGGGCCTGGATCTTTTAGATCTGGGGCACATCTTCAGTCTGCCACCAGGAAGCTTCTGCCTGTCAGTGCCCACTAGCAGTAGGCCTTGCCCCTTCTTCCTCCGCCCCACACCCTGCCACTGCATTTCAAATTTAATTCCTCCCGGAACAGAGCCTCCAAGGTGCTCATATTCTGTGTTGTAGTCCCTTGGGTAAGAGAAACCGACTGGTTGCACAGAGGCTGCAGCCTTCAATTGTGCTTTGCCGTGTGTGTTCACCTGCTCTAAGAACCCTCATATTAGGCACCATGCGAGGTGCTGTGGGGAGCCAAGGCCCAGCGGCTCTAACGCGTGACTGGAGGGCAGTGCAGGCAAGGCTGGGAAAGCGGATGGACGGGGCATTTGAGCTGCGCCTTCAGTTCACTTCGATCCATCCTCCCCATGTTCATCAGTATGTGTGGCACACCTGATACCTGCCAGGCACTGGGCTAGGTGATAGGTAGACAGTTGTTGTGCAGCCATCCTAGGCTGGGCAGCTTCATTGTCGATTTTCACAGAAAAAAAAGGGAATTTTGGAGCCTTCAGTACATGTTACAGGCCTTTAGTGCTGAATCAGGAGACAGACCAGCAGGGAGGGAGACAGCAGCTGAGCCCCCTACCCTCAGAGTGATGCTGCCCTCACGCCCCTTTTAGCCCTCACTGCTGGGCACAGGTGTCTGTATTTACCTATGGGCATGCCCTGTGCTCTGGGCCCAGGTGTCCATAATCACAGGTGCATGTGCCCCGTGCCCACACCTCTCTGCCCTGGGCATCCATGTGGCGACCTAGGAGGAATGCAAGACCACACATGGTAGCTGTAGAGGAAAAGAGACAGGAGGGTGGAAAAAAGCCTGATTAAACTCCATTTTCCCTACACCAGTGTTGTGTGAGACAGGCCGGGCCCTTCCTCACATGAAGTGAATGAACAAGCAGATAGTGGTGGGTGAAATAAAGAGGGCAGACGAGGAGGAGATGTGGTGAGGGTAGGCTTGCTGAGGAGGTGTTTTAACCAAGTTGTGGGGTCAGTTATGTCCAGAGCTCAGGTAGGAGCTCAGGGTGCTGTGGGGTGGGAAAGGATAACAGACACGTGAGAAGGGCCCAAGGCGGGGAAGCATATGGAATGTTTGAGAATTAAAAGGAGGCCGCGTGCCTGAACGGAGAGGGGAGGGCAAAGAGAAGCAGGTGAAGGTTACTGGGAGGAGAGTCAGCAGGGCAGCGGTGGGGCCTCTGTGGGTGAGGCTTGCTGCGTGGAGCATGGATGCGGAGGCGTGAGGAGGCTGATGGGTGCTGGGTAGAGCCAGGGGGTCGGGTAGAAGTGGAAGGAGCTAGCTGTGCCCGTTGCCCTGTCAGAGCCCCCCCCCCCCGCCCCCACAGGGAGCTGTCCTTCCTGAGCGCGCTAACCCTCCTCTTCGTTTCGTCCACTGGAATAAAGTGTGTCCCCTCCCTCCTTCTTCCATCAGAATGGTTTGCAAAACAATCCGTCTCTCGTCTCTAGATTTCAGGGCCCATGTGAGATAGGAGCCAAGCATCTGCTTGGAGACACGAGCCAAGTGAGCAAAGACGCCGCTGTTTACAGGGCTGTGGTCCCAGCAGACGGAAGCTCCCAGGAGTGGGTTTAATTGGGGTTGGGGGAGGAAGGTGATCAAGCGCGCTGAGCCACAGAAAACACCAGCAAAGCGCCAGCCCACACACAACCTACACTGGGCAGTTTCAAGCCCAAACTTAAGACTTTCTTCTGAATTTTAAAAGGGGATTTTAAAAAAAGATTTATGGATGCAAGAGCTGGAGTGCAGGCCAGAGGTGGGGGGTGGGGGTGAGAGGATTCACCTGAGACAAGAGTGGGGAGCAGAACAGGTGGATCTACTGAAGTACACTGCTCACGGGAGCAGCGGGGAGACAGGAGAGGTCTGCTGCGCCATGTGGGTTGCTCCCTGGCCTGGGATCGAACTCCTGTTGCAGCGGCTGGTGACAGCTTGATAGTGCTGGGTCTTTAACCCCTGCGCCACCAGGGAGGCCCCGGATTTTTTTTTTTAATTAAGACTCCTTCATCCTCTCCTCCACACCCTTTTACATAAAAGGCATAAATATCTTGGAAATGCACTTTTTCATGAAGCTTCTAAAACTTTTTGTCTTCCAACTGTCGGAATGACAGGTTGGAAAACCTGTTCTATTTTGACCAAAAAAAGAAGCTGACAATAAATGCTGTTACCTGTCCTCTGTGACAATGAATGGGCCATGGAACATCAGTTACCACTGTTTTCTCTGATCTTGTATGCTTTTTCCTTTGTTGTTGTGCTTTATCTGCCTCATTAATTTTTCCTAAAGTAATACATGTGCTTATCGTAACTAATTAATTTGAAGATGCATAAAAGTCAATCTCTCAGCCCCCGACTCCCCATTTCCATCCTGCTGAGAGAACCGGTAATCACTTAGGTGCAGATCCTTCCAGAACTTTCTCCAGACTCCTGTTTAAATGGATATATGTGGGATCATACTTTATAATTTTACAGTTTATTATTCCCTCCAAATATATACACCACGGATAGGTACGTATCTAATTCACCATTTTAAATAGCTTTAAGGCTGTCAATGTAGAGGTGCCAGGGTAGAGTGACATTTCTTTGACAGGTATTCTAATTGTGGCTGCTTTTTGTCTCCACAAAAAAATATTGTTGCATTAAATATCTTTGTATACATACCCCTCTCTACTTTTATTCTTATAGGTTATATTTTCAAAAACAGTAGTGCTCGGTCAAAAGTTATTGTATTTAAACCTTTTAGTTGATGGTATCCTGCTTTCCAGTGAGTTTTAGTAACTTGCATTCTCCTCAGCAATGAGTATGTCCAGTTCCTAAATCTTGATTAACATGAGTTATTCTCTCTCTTCCATTTTCCTCTCTGTTGTTTCATTTTGTGACCAAGTTCACATTTTTCCTAACTCTTATACCCTTCACCAGTGAGACTGCACTTCGTTTCATGGTAATTGGCCATTTCATTTTTTTTTTTTCCTCTTCACCCATTTTTCATGAGTTGTTTGTCTTTCTGAGGTGGTAGGAGCTCTTTCCATATTTACATATTAAGGATTCCATGGGTGTTACAAAATTTTTAAGAAATGGTTAAGAAAAATATTTGCATTTACAGAAAAAATTTATTGTAATATATGTTTATTTTCTGTTTTTCTCTTCAAAGTGTCTGGATTCTTGCCTTGTTTAGAAATAATTTCTTGACCTCAAAGTTGTATAAATGTTTTCCTAAATGATGTTCTAACATTTTTATAGCTTCAATTAATTTAATCCTGACATTTTAATCCCCTTGGAATTTGTTTATAGGTAGTAAGCGGTAGTGGTCAAGTTTTGTTCTACAGATGCCAGCATCATTTGTTAAATTATAAGAGTGGTCCTCAAAAAAAGGGAACGTTCCAGGATCCCTGCCCCACCTGCCCCTGAGTAATCCAGAACCTTAGGAAGTTTTCACTCTGGTCTCTTCCATCCTCAGTGTTACTTGTCACATTGCATTGTAATAACAATTTTGTTTTGATCTCCCAATTAGCTTCATTTTATTCTTTACATTTACCTATTGATTGTAAAATCTCAGTTGCTTTCTGTGTTTAGTTTTCTCTGTTGGAGAATGTTCTTGGGGTCTGTAAATGATAAACTTGCTCAGTCTTTGCTGAAAATGTCTTTTGCTCTCACTCATGATATTTTAACTGGATACAGAATTTTCGGTAGTGTATATAATTATGAAAGCTGCACATGCCGATTTAAAACTTTTCATACAGAACAAATACAAGTGAAAGTTTTTCATTTTTTTCTCCCCAGTTTGAGTCCCAGAGAGAATCCTGTTTATAGTTTTTACCTTTTTCTATGTAGATTAGAAAAAAAGTGTAACCTACTAGAGCTGTACTTTTTTCCTAAACATAAACAATTGTGCCCATATTCTTATTTTTTTTTAATAGAGGCATTTATTTATTTGTTTGTTTTGTTTGTTTATACATGCACTGGGTACAGTCAGCAGCGCGGGAGGGTGAGAGAATTCACCAGAGCCAGAGCGGGGAGCAGAGCAGGCAGAAGGACCGAAGTACACTGCTGAGGGGAGCAGCAGGCGGCAGGAGAGGTCTGCGTGCCATGTGGGACCCTCCTCCAGTGGCCGGGGAGCAGCCGGGGATCGAACCGGCGCCGCAGAGGCCACGGGCAGCTTTGCAACCCAGCGCTCAACCTCTGCGCCACCGGGGAGGCCCTGTGCCCATATTCTTATTGAAAAGCTATACTATTTTCAATTGTATACCACTTTTTAACAGAGCATGTGCATCTTTCCATGTTGTATAATGACTTTCCCTCATTCTTTGTGATAATTGTGTGATTTCTCATATTGCTAGACTGTAATTGAATTTTTTTCCTATTAGCAGGCGTTAAAAATTGTTTCCTTTTTTTGAATCATGTTTTTCACTGAATACCCTTTACTTACATGATCAACAGTTTAAATTCCTAGACATTCAACTTTCTCAAGGAATCTGCAGTTAATATGTTAATAGACATTGTTAACCTATTTTTCCAAGAGATTATTTCTGTGTACAACCTTAATGAGTGTCTCACTTTTTTTTTTTTTCTGGTTCCTTAGAATTTCCACATCCATCAGTCAACAGGGAAAAACCTGAAGCGATGCAAGCAGGAAAAAGAAACTAAGCCAGGTGGGTGGGTAATCACATTGCTCACGCCATAGCATTATGAGTGATTACCTAAATACCTTATTTCTGGTTGAAGAAAGAAAAGAAATAGGCTCCAGAAGAAATGAGAGGAATCTCGGTCCCTGGAGAGAAGGCAGGGTCACGGTGGGCAGAGGCTGTATGCCATCTCACAGGACTGACCCCTCTTACAGACGGTTTCTGTGCAGCACCAGGCAGTCCACCTCTGAGGGCTTCAAAGAGAACAGGCTTCTTCAGCCGTGTACTTAAGCAGATGGAATCACACACGATAACACCAGCTTTCCTGTTTACAACAGCTTTACAACAAATGACCGGTAAAGTCTTTCAAAAAGACAAAGGCCCACTGCAGGGATTTTCATACCATGATAGAGGAGCGAAATCAAGCGAGACTCAGCTCATAGCAAGCACAGCCCAGAGGTCAGCTCAGGAGAGATGGTACAGGTTCCTTCCAGTTGGATGAAACTGCAGGTCATAGAACGTGTGTGGCCTGCTTCGAAGTATGGCCACTTTGGGTCAGCTTTTATATTTAGACATATCTAATTTCTGGCTTAAGTTAATAATTAAGCCTCTCACCCATGGCTCACTGCAAATTCAGTGCCTTCAATGTAGTCACAGCATCGTGCTGCCATCACCAGAGTCCCTTCTAGAGCATTCTCATCACCCCATAAAGAAATCCTGTGCCTTTACTCATCACCTTCCCAACCCCACCCCCCAGGCCTAGGCAACTGCTAATCTGCTTTGTCTCCAGGTAGAGTTCTGATCCTGAAAAGAGTAACTGGGAGGAAATCTGGGTGATCTGGAGTGACTCATTCCCTGATGGATAATTAGGCAAATGAAACTGGACACTACTGTATTTTATAGAAGGCTTTATTAACTAAGAAGCTACATGCTTGCTGATATAGGCAGGAGGCAAGTTTTCTGTGAGTCACCTCTATTTGTCAGCGCAGCCTGTCAAATTGGCTCCCATCAGAGAGCAGCTGTGAAGCGATGAGTTTCTCCACTGGCACTGGGACCTGTGGGTGCTGAGCACAGGATCTCTTTCCTGTCATCTGAACCCCTGGCTTGGTTTCTCTCTCCCTGTAGTAGTCAAGGTGAAGGGCACTGAAATTCAGGACCCGGTCAGACTCTGGGAGGACAGACAACTATGCGCCCTCTCAAGCTCTTCATGTTATGGCCACGTCTGTCTCTCCCGACACTCTAATCCATGAGCCCGTTCTTTTAGAAAGCTTTGTGGGTTTTTTTTTTTTTGTTTGTTTTTAAAGTTTTATTTATTTATGCATACAAGAACTGGGGTATAGGCCAGAGGTGGAGAGGGTGAGAGGGCTTACCAGAGACAGAGTGGGGAACAGAACAGGCAGACTGACAAATACACTGCTGAGGGGAGCAGCGGGCGAGACGGAAGTCTCCTGCAGTGTGGGTTGCTCCCTGGCTGGGTATCGAACTCGTGCTGCAGAGGCTGCGGATGGCTTCACAGTGCTGTGCCTTCACCTCTTGCACCACCAGGGAGGCCCTTGGAAAGCCTTGTTAGGCACTGTGTGGTGGGCGGTGGGGAGAGTTCTCAGAAAAATCACTCTGAAAACGCCTCATCCGTTTTCACAATGCGGCCCTGTTTGAGGTGGGAATAGCCATTGGTGCAGAGGTGCCGGGATCAGGAGCAGACAGTTCTGTGGTGGGGGAGGAGATGGCTGCAGTTCTGTCTGCGTCGGGAGGAAGCCATCACCTGAGCGAGCTGCCCTGAAAAACATGCCCTGAGCAGGGAGGAGAGCGGCTCAGACCCCGGCTCTGTCCCACCCTGGCTGGAGCACCAGGGACTCACGCCACTTCTGAGTCTGGGCACTCCATCGTGAGAGCTCCACAGTGGGATTCTCTTCAGTGTCGCTGAGGAGAGAGTCCACACTTAGTCTTGGGTGACCAAAGCATAGGGAGCAGAACTCCAGCAGGTCAGAGGACCAGGTGGGGACAGGCAGGTCAGTGACGCAAAGGAGAACCTTCCTTTCATCTCCCAGTCAGTCCTGTCACTTCCGCCCTTTAAGCTCACCTTTCCATGGGCCAAATAGCGGCACCACCTTAGCTCCGGGCCTAGGAGCTGGCTCAGCTTGTCCTGGTGTAGGCCGGGCTCTAGGATATCCTAGCTCCAGGGCTGCTGTCAAGTCTGACACCGCAGTGTGTGTACCCTGTAAATAGCAGTCATTGTTATTATACCATCCTTATTTACTTGGTCAGAAACCAGGGCTCAGGTGGTTATGTTAACCGCTGGCTTGAGGGTATGAATGTTCTTAAGTTCCTATTTTGTTTGTACTTTAATTCATTTGATGAATATTTTTAATGAGCATCTTCCATGTTTAGAACCATGCTGTGTGCAGGGGATACGATGACAAGGAAGGGGACTGAGGCTCTTGGAACTGGTCAGGAAGGCAAGTCTGCCAGCACCTGCCTGGTACCTGGTTTATGGAGACTTCAGTATGTGTTAGTTGAATGACAACTTATAAATGCCAAGTGCAAGAATTTTTATTAGGAAGAAATCCGGATGCTGCAGGTGGCAAAACAGGCTCTGCTGGGCCAGGGAGAGGGTGCTCAGGCTGCGGGGTCTCTAGGAGTTACGCAGGACATGTGGCTGGGCATTGGCCATCCCAGGCAGACTCCAGCTGGAGTTCTGCTCAGGGGCAGGCGTGGTGCAGACTGTTCCTGAGGGTCGAAGGCAGAGCTCCTGATTGCCAGGATATTGCTCGTACAGGTTCTGGGGGGGCTGTTGGTTAATTACTATCTACCTAGGTGGTGTTGTGTGGATTCTGAACTCTGTTTCTGTCGAGAGGCAGGAAGAATGGAATATTATTTCCCCTTCAGCTTGGGACAGGACAGTCCAAGCCCTACTGGCACTGCCTTAGGGCATCTAGTGTGTCTGCCTGTGAGTGATGTGGGAAGCAACACCCTCTGCCCCCAGGGCTTTCCTCACCCTGCACTGGAGAGAAGGCTCTGAAAACTGGCGGGGAAGGGACGCAGGAAAACACTCGGTTAGAAGCACCAGTGAACGGGTGAAATCAAGATCAGAACAAACTCCCAAGTCAGCCCTGGTCCCCGAGACGCCGGCGGCCTTTCCGCACTCTGTCCTCTAGCCCTGGGCTCCTTGTGAGCTTTCTGGACGCCAAGCGGACCCCACCTTCTGTATGCTATTTTTTCTGCTTGGCACACCATCCCCAGGTACTTGCTCCCCCTCCCCCCGCTTCCATCAGTCCCTGCACCAGTGTCCCCTTGTCCAGGCTGCAGGAAATCTCGTGTCCCTAGCCCCGCTTCGTTTTCTCCATAGCACTTCGGCCACCTGTTATTTGCTCTGTTTGTTCGTGGGCTGCTCCTCTAGAATGTGAGCTTCCCGAGGGCAGCGAGTCTGTCACTGCTGAATCCCCAGTGCCTGGTGAGCGAGGAGCATAAAAGAGAAGTTGCCTTAAAATTAGTGGCCAGGTGTAAATAACGGGGCTCGTGGTCCCCACTCTGCTTTATGCACTTTTCATAGCTCTTAATTTTCAGGCTTTTAAAAAGATTCTCACCATTTTTAAAGACTCTTACACACAAGTGTTCTTCTCCCTGCTCACACAGGTGGGCTGTGGCCCCCTGCCTGGCACTGTCAGACTCCCAAGGGTGGTGCGGTCCCCTATGAATCTGATCATTCAACTGGGTTAGGAATTGAGGCTGGATGAGTCCTCTCTCTCACTAGCCCTGAACTTACTGTTTTTGTCTCCATGGCCTTGAGTCGGGCCTGGTACTTCCTGAGTGAGCAATAAAATTTTGTCGAATGAATGAATATTACAGAGGTGAGGTCTTCTATCTCCACAGTGGCCTTGGGTGCGCTTTGTATAGAATTCCAGAGGAACTGGAGAGGGTTACATTAGCCGTCACTCTGGTTGCCCATTGCTGCGTGACACTTTGCCACGAGACTTGGCAACACCACACTGACGAATGGGAGTCGTAGAGCAGGCTGCACAACGCCGGATGCTGCTGAACAAGCAAGATCCTGGCCTTTTTATTGTTAGAATCATCATACAGCCTCAGTTATGTGGGGTAGGAGGATAAGGAGAAAAAGGTGGGTGAAACTAAAGGATGTGTTTTTGTCATCTAGGGCTTCGGGGGGACTTGAGCCTGCTGACCAGATAATTCTTATCTGCTTGATGACCAAGTGTTGTAATTGAAACCATACCCCAGCCCTGGCCATGGTTCCAGTCTTATCAACAAGATGTTCCACCGATCAGCTTCTGAGGTCCCTTGTCATACCCCGTGGTGCACACCCTTCCCAGGGTGATCCAGCTTTCTGCTGGTGATTGATTTGAAAGGCACCTGGTGGTAAGGTTAGGCTCTGACTGATTGACCAGGCAATTCTGACCTTGCACAGGAATGCAGAACTGCAGGTAACAATAATGGTGGCCGAACAGGTCTGCTTAACAGACCTGCTTAGCAGACCCACAAACAGCAGTACTTTATTCTCTTTCATGGTGTCTGTGGGTCAGGAATTTGGGAGCGGCATGGCTGGGAGACTCTGGCTCATATCTCCCAGGCCAAGCACAGCCATGTGCTGCCCGCTGCAAGCTGCTCCTGCTGACTCAGAATGTCCGGAGAGGGCACTTCCTCCAAGCATGGCTGCTCAGCTGTCCCACCTGTACCGCAGAGCTCCCAACACAAGTGGTGTGTGCGAGAGCCAGTGGCAGTTGCATGGCCTTTTCTCACCCCATGTTGGGGTGAGAAACTTCACTTGTGTTGCATCCTCTCAGTGAGAAGCCATTCTCTCCGCTGCTCCTTCAGGAGGGGGCAGATCAGACGCCCTCTCCTGAGAGGAAGAATGCTAGGGAATATGCAGATGTCTTTCAAAAGTGGTTCCGGAGATGCCCAGCTGAACTCGAGACCAGTTTGAGGGGAACGAACCTTGTTGGGGGTGCCCAGCGGCATCAGCAGAGCTGGAGCTCGGTCTGGCCCTGGCCTTTTGGCCCCAGCCTGCTTGG